AGTGATTTGATGGAATATCTCAAATCTAGATCTGAAAATGAAAATGTGCCGATTGGTAAAATGATACTTCCATCATCTTTTTATTTTTTATTTTATTATATTTTTAATTTTTATTTTTTTAAATTTTACTTTATTGTTGACAGTATTACAGATATACCCCATTCGACCCCCCCTTTTTTAAAATAAATCTTTATTGTTCAGATTATTACAGTTGTTCCTCTTTTTCCCTCCATATCTCCCCTCCACCCAGTTCCCACCCCACTCGCTGCCCTTACCCTCCTCCCACGGTCCTCATCCATAGGTGTACGATTTTTTTTTTTTAAATATATTTTATTGATTTTTTACAGAGAGGAAGGGAGAGAGATAGAGAGTTAGAAACATCAATGAGAGAGAAACATCGATCAGCTGCCTCCTGCACATCTCCTACTGGGGATATGCCCACAACCCAGGTACATGCCCTTGACCGGAATCGAACCTGGGACCCTTCAGTCCGCAGGCCGACGCTCTATCCACTGAGCCAAACCGGTTTCGGCAGGTGTACGATTTTTGTCCAGTCTCTTCCCACACCCCCCACACCCCTTTCCCCACAAGAATTGTCAGTCCACTCCCTTTCTATGCCCCTGATTCTATTATATTCACCAGTTTGCTCTGTTCATCAGATTATTTATTCACTTCATTTTTAGATTCACTTGTTGATAGATGTGTATTTGTTGTTCATAATTTGTATTTTTACCTTTATCTTCTTCTTCCTCTTCTTAAAGGATACCTTTCAGCATTTCATATAATACTGGTTTGGTGGTGATGAACTCCTTTAGCTTTTTCTTACTTGTGACGCTCTTTATCTGACCTTCAATTCTGAATGATAGCTTTGCTGGGTAAAGTAATCTTGGTTGTAGGTTCTTGCTATTCATTACTTTGAATATTTCTTGCCACTCCCTTCTGGCCTGCATAGTTTCTGTTGAGAAATCAGCTGACAATTCTATGGGTACTCCCTTGTAGGTAACTGACTTTTTTTCTCTTGCTCCTTTTAAGATTCCCTCTTTGTCTTTTGCTCTTGGCATTCTAATTATGATGTGTCTTCGTGTGGTTCTCTTTAGATTCCTCTTGTGTGGGGTTCTCTGCGCTTCCTGGACTTGTAAGTCTATTTCTTTGACCAGGTGGGGGAAGTTTTCTGTCATTATTTCTTCAAATAGGTTTTCAATATCTTGCTCTCTCTCTTCTTCTGGCACCCCTATAATTCGGATGTTGGTACTCTTGAAGCTGTCCCAGAGGCTCCTTACACTATCTTGATATTTTTGGATTCTTTTTTCATTTTGCTTTTCTGGTTGGGTGTTTTTTGCTTCTTCGTATTTCAAATCTTTGACTTGATTCTTGTGATCCTCTAGTCTGCTGTTGGATCTCTGTATATTATTCTTTATTTCAGTCAGTGTGTGCTTAATTTCTAGTTGGTCCTTTCTCATATCCTTGAGGGTCTCACTAAATTTATTGGTGGTTTCTAGAAAATTTTTGAAAAACCTTATAACTGTGGTTTTGAACTCTATATCCAGTAGTTTGCTTTCCTCCATTTCTGTCATTTGTGATCTGTTTCTTTTTCTCTGCATTTTGGCTGCTTCCCTGTGTTGATAGAGTGGCTTTGTGTGCTAGGTGTCCTGTAGGGCCCAGTGGCTCAGCCTCCCCCATTACCTGAGGTGGGCACTCTTGGTGCACCCCTTCGTGGGCTGTGTACACAGTATTGTTGTATTTAAGCCTTGATTGTTGTTGGTATCACTGGGAGGAATTGACCTCCAGGCCAATTGGCTGTGAGAATCAGCTGTGTCTAAGGTGGGAGAACTTCTGTGCTGAAGACACCCTTCTGGGGCAAGACTTGCTTCAGTGGGGCTTTGGTGCTCACTGAGTCTTCCCCCTGAGTGTCCCTTATGGATCTGAGGAGTTGTAATCTGGATGGTCCCACTCTGACCACTGGGTACACTGGCTCTTGGATCTTTAAAGAGGTGCTAATTTAGCCCCTTCCTGAGGCTACCCAGCAGGAGCTATGGAGAGATCTGCAGATTCCCCTTCCTTGTTTGGGGTTTGAAGGTGCCCAGATGAAACCCAGCTGGGGGGCAATGCAAGCTGCTGTGGGGCCTTGGGCCTTCTTTTGGATGTTCTGGGTCTCTCTGACCTGGCTGCAGTTTGTTAGGTAATTTTAGATTGCAAAGGGCCAGGCCATTCATATGCAAAAGCCTCTGCACACAACTTGGGTAGGGCAGAGTCTCAGGGAATCAACAGGGCAGAGCAAACAGCTATGGCTGATCCTCAGCCCTGCTCTAAAAGACCCCGCTTCTCAGTGTCCCATGGTTATTGCTGCAAGCACCTCTGAGAGAAAGCTGCCCTTGAGTTCAGCCCATTGCCAGACAGTCCAGTTTCTCCTTGTATGAGTCTAGGTCCCCAGAGACTCGCCCCGAACTGGAGTTCAGAGCAGTCAGGAGCTTGTGTCTCCCTCCTGATTGAAAAAGACAACCGTGTCCTCAGTTGCCCACCTTTTCTGCACGCACCTCCGTACCTCTGCACTTTACTTCTGCACCTCCTCTGAGTCTCTGTTTGCTTTTCTCTTTCCTTCTAGTTGTAGAATTTCCACTCAGCCAGCCTTCCTGTGGTTCTGGATGATGTCCGTTTTGTCTTTTACTTGTATTTTTGAAGGGGTTGTGCGAGGCAGCAATTTCAGGTGTTTACCTATGCCACCATCTTGGTTTCTCTCTTATTGATTTTTTACAGGGAGAAGAGAGAGGGATATCGAGTTAGAAATATTGATGAGAGAGAAACATTGATCAGCTGCTTCCTGCACACTCCCTACTGGGGATGTGCCCGCAACCAGAGTACATGAAATCGAACCTAGGACCCTTGAGTCTGCAGATTGAAGTTCTATCCACTGAGCGAAACTGGTTAGGGTGAATTTCTTTATTTTCAAACTTTTAATATGTTTTCATTGATTTTAGAGAGAGAAACATCAGTGTGAGAGAGAAACATCAATCAGTTGCCTTAACTTGGGATCTAACCCACAACCTGGGTATGTGCCCTGTCCAGGAATCAAACTGGTGACCTTTTGGTGCACAGGATGACAATCCACCAACTGAGCCGTACTGGCCAGGATTGATGCATGTCTTTCAAAAATCATGGCAAGCACTCACTGTTTTGCTGTTGAACGTGTGTTATGTCTGCATACATCTAGTTACATATGTATGCACACATACACATATGTGCACAGATGCACACATGCATGCACATTCAAAATGGCAGATGATAGAATCCTCGGAGAGTCAGTCAGGACGCACCTGAACCAAATGCAATTGTTCCTGTATTAGTTCTACTGGAAGCCTCACATCGTTACAGGAAGTCCCCAGTTGATGGCAATGTGATGAAGGCAGGCTGCCTACTACAGAACTGAAGTCAAAAAATCCATTTTTTTCTCCATATTTACATTCCAGTTGCTTTCCTGGAGGAAACGCTTGTGATATTTTTTTGGCTAACTAGATGTCGGAACTTTAATATCAGGAAAGGGGGTAAATATTTACATAGGCCCTGTTCATCTAAGGGTCATAGGCAAAATTTTAGACAAGGAAAAAAGGACAAAGGAATGTATATTCAAAACAGCAAATAATCCAGAATCTATATTTACAATGCAAAATTGCTAGTTAAGACTGATTTCTGGTTTCTGGCGATCCCTTACTGCCCATGAACAGGTAAGAGTGCATTACCAGAAGCGGATTGAAAGCTCTGTGTTTTTGAAACAAGCTGGCTTGCCCACCTTAGGTGATAGGGCAGGCCTGTGGCCATTTTCATTGAGATATCCCCAGTTGTCACTGTCCAGAAGTCTTTTCTCTTGTCAGATTCTCCAATGTGCTAACTAACTGATAGGGTTCTGGGATGCAACAGGGAAAGAGGAGCTGAAGAGATGCACTAGCCAATAGAGACTAGTTTTCTTTACCAGTACTTACCAGTTTTCAGATGGCCTTTTTCCCGCTCCTACCAGCTGTGATCTGGTCCTCCATCCAAGAAAGTAAGTCTCAGCTTCCCCAACAGTGAGGGGGGAGCTGCCTGACTACAGAGTTTGGTCTTTGGAGGAAGGAACCTAAGGTTTCACTGTTTCTTGAATAGAATTGCAGTCAATCCCATTTCTAATTGTACCTGCATTCCTGCCTCCAGACATACTTGGTATCCCCATGCTGAGTCTGCTGACCTTCTATAGAGCGAATCAGCTTGTTTCTTTAAGTTTCCCCCATGGAAGGCACTGATGTTTCAAATTTCTCTGATCTGTTAAAATAATTACCACCTGATCCTTCTGCTTTCCCAATGGTAAAATTCTGTTGTCCTCCCTTGAATGCTATCATAGCCTCTCCTGTTTTCTTGGTTTTCATGGTTTGGGGGCGAGGAACATCTGTTAAAGAGGGATGAATTAGCCCTAGCTGGTTTGGCTCAGTGGATAGAGCATTGGCCTGCGGACTGAAGGGTCCAGTCGATTCCAGTTCAATTCCAGTCAAGGGCATATACCTCGGTTGCAGGCTCCTCCCCAGCTGGGACCCTGTTAGGGATGCATGATGTGTTTCTCTCATATCAATATGTCTCTCTGTCTTTCCCTCTCTCTTCAACTCTCTCTAAAAATCAATGAAAAAATATCCTTGGGTGAGGATTTTTTAAAAAAGAGGAATGAATTAATCATACTCCTCAGTTCATAAACACCAACAATATTTTCCAATATAAGAGTTCTCTCGTGTTTATTTTTATATGTATATTCTCTTCTTCCTTTTCCCATTCCTATCTCTTTCCTTCTCCAAAGGTAGTGATACCTTGTATGCTCAATGCATATATTTTTGAATTCTTATAAATGTGTATTTTTGTTTTATATATATATATATATATATATATATATATATAAATTATACATATGAATTCAAACCTACACATATGATATTATAATTTTTATTCAATTTCTTTTTTCATTCTACAGCATATTTTCTAAAGATACTTTTTGATAATTTTTTGTTTGGTTTATTTAGGTCCTATTGTACTTAAATAAGAATAGCTCCATCCCAAGATGGCGGCGCCCAGTGAAGTGGATGCACCTGCCTCCGGCGAAGGCAGTGGCGAGGGCAGCTGTTTCGGATCCTGGCTGGCTGGATGGTTGGAGGCACTGGGAGTGGACCGAGCTGTTTACGGCGCCTACATCCTGGGTGTTCTGCAGGAGGAGGAGGAGGAAGAGAAGCTGGACGCTCTGCAGGGCATTCTCTCTGCTTTCCTGGAAAAAGATTCCCTTCTTACCCTATGCAAGGAGATTGTGGAAAGATGGTCAGAAACTCAGAATGTTGTCACCAAAGTGAAAAAAGAAGACGAGGTACAGGCCATTGCTACCCTAACTGAGAAACAGGCACAGATTGTGGTGAAGCCCAGGATGGTGTCAGAAGAGGAGAAGCAGAGAAAAGCTGCCCTCCTGGCCCAGTATGCTGATGTGACAGACGAAGAAGACGAAGCAGATGAGAAGGATGATTCAGGTGCCACCACAATGAACATTGGTTCTGACAAATTTCTGTTCCGAAATACCAATGTGGAAGATGTCCTCAATGCCCGAAAACAGGAGCGAGACTCGCTTCGAGATGAGTCCCAAAGGAAGAAGGAACAGGACAAGCTGCAGAGGGAAAAGGACAAATTAGCCAAGCAGGAGCGCAAGGAAAAGGAAAAGAAAAGGACAGAAAAACGGGAACGAAAGCGATAACCTTGGTCAGCTCTCTTCTTTCTCCTCGTGAACTGATCAAAGGGAGAACTGGTTGTTGCACAAGCACATGCGTAATTTAATTGAAATGAGAGAACATTGCAGAGTGGTTTCTCACGGCATTTCCCCTTTCGTTTACACGGTCAAAAGGAAAGTCACAAACACTTCTAATTACAGAACGTGCCATGTTCCTGTGGTGGGTATTCCGATTGCTGTAGTTATCAGTACCAAAGATCTGGAGCGGGGGCAACCTTTCTATTTTAATACCGAAGTGCTGTGCTCCTTTTGGCCACTTTCAAAAGTCTTCCCTCACCTTGGATAAACTAGCAGGAATATTCAGAAAGTTGACAGTCACAGTTTTTATCCTGAAGGAGCAGAATCATGACCACTCCTCCCCTGAGATGAAATGTGGGAATGTAAGTTGCTTCAGAAGTACTATTCACTCCTAAATGTATTGTTTTAAGACTCAAATAGAAAGCTAATGAAGAGTCAGACTTTATGTTGCATGGCAACAAACTAGGAAAATGAGAAGAAATTATTTGATGGATGTTCTAGATTTGAGAATTAAAAAAAAAAAAAGGTACCCTATGGGAGGAAAGGAAGTATCTTTTTAAAGTAATAGTTATCATTTTCCTCTAGGATGTGATTTTCAGAAGGGTGTGTCAGTATTCTGTGCATGGATATCATTGTTAGCTAGATTCCTCTTGATTGCTAGTAGAGATTTTAGTCCTGATTTGCTCTAAAACACGAGTATAAAGACTGATAATTACAGGTTTAGAGGAACTTCCTTTTCAGGAAGAAACACTGGAAACCTCTGTTAATACAAAGATATTTAAGAGTGTACATAGTAGGTGCTCAACAAATTAATTGAGTGAGTGAGTGGGAACATTGCTTGGGAGAGTCAAAAGTGAGCAGGAACTCTCCGTTTCTACTTTTGTCACAAATTACACTCAATTTGAAATCAGGCCTTTCTCCTTCAGGCAAGACTGTCAAGAAGTCTGAAGAGAGCAATTTCTCCAACAAAACAAAGTAGATATTTAATACCAGAGGTCAACAAATTACTGCCTGCTAGACAAATTTGGCCTTGTCTGTTTTTGTATGGGGCAAGCTAGCAATGGATTTCACGGTTTTAAAGGGGTGATAAAGAATATATGACCGAGACCTTATGTGGCTTGTAAAGCCTAAAATATTTGCTATCTGAACCTTTGGAGAAAAAGTTTGCTGACTTCTGTTTTATACCATTGAGATTAACAAAAGTTTTTACCTTTGTGCAGAAGGTAAAAAGCATGGTTAAGGAAAAGATGTGTTACCACTATTCACCCCTATAACCATGGCATTCGCAAAATTAAATAACCTTTTAAAAAAAATAAACTTTATTTAAATCAGAAAAAAAAAGAATATCTCCACAACAAGACAAGATGGAGAAGAGTAAAAAGTAGGTCTCCAGAAAGTTGAAAGAAAGTTACAGATACTGTTGTGAGATGTATTTATTCCAAATATACAGTATTAAAGTTCTATCAAATCCAACCTCCTCTTTCACCTAGTCTTTAAGATGGGACCATGGTTAAAGAACAACTAAAGAGATTTCTGAGCCTAGAAGCAAAGAATCCACAGCTTTGGGTTGTGTATGATCATCAACCAACCACCCAGGCAGGTCCACCTCCTAGTCTGCATTCTCAGTGGCAGCTCCAGTGACTCCACCTATTCACCATCTCATGTGAATCCACCTGTTCTTCCAGAAAAAAAAAAAAGTTCTAAAAATGCTACAAAGAACCTCTCTTCCAAGAAACACGAAAGTGTAGACATGATCTCATGTTCTACTCAGATGTCTTCCAAAAGGGATAAAGTGACAAACTGGTGCTGTGTTTTGCAAGAAAAGAAACTGAGGGTCAAAGAGGAAATTGGCTAATTAAATACCACACCAAAGAGGGGACAGGAGTTTACTAGCAACAGTCTGGTGCCACTTTTTATGGAAACTCCATCCACTTATAAAAAGCAAAAGGAAAAAATAAACACATGGCTAAAGTTAAGCCCACTTGTGGCATTAGTGTCACGCTTCTTATTGTTCTCGTCTAACATTAATAAGCTAAGAGGTGTTCATTGTATTAATGTTGAAACCATTTCTTCTCCTAAGCCAAAACCAAGATATTACTTTGTTGCTGTTTTTAATTGACACTTGGAAAACAGACATGGAGTGGTAAGCTCAAATGAGCAAATAAACCATTAACATATTGTCAGGTTTTTATTTTCCTTGTTTCTGGCACCCTAGACTATTTCTTGGAATATGAAACCTTTATCTATCAATGACGAGCTAGCAAACAATCAGCCAAAAAGGGCAGAAAATTTAAATTTCAAAGGCAAAGAAAATATAAATGAAATATAACCATCCTCTATTTCCAAGAAATTTTTATTCAATTTTACATTTAGGTCAGACCTGGAAGGAAATTTATAGCAAAGTGGAAGCAAATATTTATACTTTGGGTCTGTTCTAAACCAAATCAAGAGCAGGGAATGCAGTTTAAGTTTTAACTGTTTTTGACTTCAGATTCATTCCTCTCTTGGCAGAGTTGAAGAACCTGTGGCTCAAGATCCCCCAAATTATATCTGCAGAAAAGCTTGAGGACCTCTCTTCTGGGAGGAGGGTGTTCCTCATCCTAAGGGAAGACCTACATAAAGTGCCAGCTTTGGTTCAAGAAAAATAGGACAGAATGAGAGAGGATGGAGTCTCCCTCAAATGCCAGGTCAGGCACTAAGAGCCCAGGTCACAACACCTGGAGGCAGAGCCATCATCGGGTGGGCCAGGGACAAACCATCATCAGATGAGACTCATTTGTCTATGCTTTTGGTTCCCATCATGATGAAAAATGCAAGATTTTAATATAAGTTGCAGAACAAATGGGACTGATTTATAGTTTACAATTACATAGTAGTTCATATTGTGCGTTGCTGTATTTCCCATTTCTAATTTTGCATTTTGTTTTCCCTCTAGGACAGGCGTGCACACTCTTTCTGGAAAGGGACAAAGAATAAATAATTTAGGTTTTGGGTCACATGGGTCTCTGTAGCATACTCTTCTTTGAGTTGTGTGTGTGTGTGTGTGTGTGTGTGTGTGTGTGTGTGTGTGTGTGTGTTTCCAACCTTTTAAAAGTGTAAAAATCATTCTTAGCTCACTGGTCAAAGAAAAACAGGCCAGGGCTGACCCTTGCACTAGGACAGTGATGGCGAACCTTTTGAGCTTGGCGTGTCAGCATTTTGAAAAACCCTAAATTAACTCTGGTGCCCTGTCACATATAGAATTTTTTTGATATTTGCAACCATAGTAAAACAAAGACTTATATTTTTGATATTTATTTTATATATTTAAATGCCATTTAACAAAAATCAACCAAAAAAATGAGTTCGCGTGTCACCTCTGACACGTGTCATAGGTTCGCCATCACTGCACTAGGACATTGGGTATTTAGGAGACGCATGTGGTGGGGTTAGGGGTTTGGTATGCTTCCCTTTCACCTTACCTTCTCTCCAGTTCACAATTATGACTCTTGGTCAGATTGTCTGGTTGCCTTGAACCAATGCTGGAAACTCATATCCAAGACTTCAAGCTGTGATTAAGAATGAATAAACATCCTTGCCAGTGTTGTTCAGAGTTTGAGCATCCACCTATGAAATAGGAGGTTCAATTCCTGGTCAGGGCACATGCCCAGGTTGTGGGCTCGATCCCCAGTAGGGGCCATGCAGGAGGCAGCCAATCCATAATTCTTTCATCATTGATGTTTCTATCTCTCCCTCCCACTCCCTTCCTCTCTGGCATCAATAAAAATATGCATATTTTTTAAAAGAATGAATAAACAGGTGATTTTGCTTCACTCCAATACAGCAATGCTCTGTTCTCCAACATCCAGAACATGGTGATACAGTTGAGGAGGTGCAGGAGACTCTTCCTAAATCAAGTTACTACAAGGAGTATGACTCCACACTTTGGTTCTTGAGAAGTGAGTTGACTGAAGTACAGGTATCCTGAGGAAGAAATCAGGGCCCTCGGTGGGCATTAGCTGTCAGTGCTGGTGGCATATGCATGAGCAGGAGGAGCCACTTGAAGCTCTCTGCAGGTATGCTAAGCCTGGCTGTGGACATCACGCTAAAACTGAAAAAGAAAAGGAATGCAATGACAGGTGCTACATGGGAGCTGGTGGGACTGAGTTTGCAAATACATGTGAGATGCCATCTGGAAACATCCAGGGAAAAAATGCAACAGGAACTTTATAGGAGAGTGGGGAACAGAAGCAATGATTGTTAGTGTTAACCAATTTAATATTTTAATCCAGGAGCTTGAAATGGTTTGGAGAAACATAGGATTCTCAGATTGGTCCTGGTATAGTTTTGCTCTCACATAAATGAAAGTAATCAATTTCAAATAAGAGAACAATGCTGCACGATCAGGAAACCAATGTGCTGGCTCCAATCATGCTACTCAACTGCATGACCTTGAAAAAGTCCCTTGATTTCTCTTGGCCTCAGGTTTGTTCCTCCCTATAGTAAGGAGTCAAAACAAAAATGTCTAAGGGAATTTCTTCTTTTTAATGTTATGCTTAGTTTGATATTAAAGCCATTAATTAATTAATAATTATTTACTAAATCACCTACCATATTCCAAACATGGTGCCAGGTAATGAGACTATTTATGGAAAGAAAGTCTCTGCCCTGAAGAATTTCTCTAAAAGTAAACCACCATCACAACACAGGTTATTGAAATTTAGGATATGCCTCGTTTGCTGTGAGACTTTGGAGGACAGACACTGTCGTAAAAATCAGAACCTGGACCAATCACATTGTGTTAACATGTTATTGAGCATCCAGAAGAGAAAAAGGGAAAACAAAAGTAATACATTCATAATAAAACACAGTTGGTGTCTTGGTCATGCTAGACATCTACAGATAGCTGTATGGAAGCCTGCTCTGTGCTTTAGAACAGTCTAAATGAGGTTGGGGCACCAGGAGGAAGAGGTGGAAGTCTTCCTGTCTGTCACTGGTCAAAGTTCATATTGTAAAAGGAGTATGAACTGGCTGGTGTGGCTCAGTTGGTTGAGCATCATCCTGAGCATTGAAAGGTCACCAGTTCGTTTCCTAGTCATGTCAAATGCCCAGGTTGTGAGTTCGATCCCCAGTGTGGGAGGCAACTGATTGATGTTTCTCTCTCATATCAATGGTTCTCTCTCTCTCTCCTTCTCCCTTCCTCTCTCTCTCTCAAAATCAATAAAAATATATTAAAATAAAAATAAAATTTTAAAATGCTTTAATTTTTTAAAAAAATATATTTTATTGATTTTTCACAGAGTGGAAGGGAGAGAGATAGAGAGTTAGAAACACCGAAGAGAGAGAAACACCGATCAGCTGCCTCCTGCACATCTCCCACTGGGAATGTGCCCGCAACCAAGGCTCATGTCCTTGACTGGAATCGAACCTGGGACCTTTCAGTCCGCAGGCTGACGCTCTATCCACTGAGCCAAACCGGTTTCGGCGAAATGCTTTAATTTTTAAAAAAATATTTTTTAAAAAAAAATATACTATAAATAAATTTAAATAAATAATAAAAGAAATCCTCTTAAATTTCTAGATTATATGACCTGGCCCCAAGATTTGGGTGTTAGAACCCAGACCTCACTGCATGGTGCTTTACCTGACTCTGAGAGTGGTCAGGGCAGCTGAAATTCATGGGCCCGGTGGGTCAGGCCTGGGCACCAGGGTCTTTACAGGTAGGTGTGCCAGAGGCATGCCCTCAGCTGGGCAAGATGGGAAAAGATGGCAGGGTTAGAAGTTGTGGCAATAGAAGAAAGGCTCTCTACTGAGGAAGGGCAAGTGACTGAGGTCTGCCAAATAGAGGAGTCCAAGACATCAACTGTGTTTTATTATGAATGTATTACTTTTGTTTTCCCTTTTTCTCTTCTGAATGCTCAATAACATGTTAACACAATGTGATTGGCCCAGGTTCTGATTTTTATGACAGTGTTTGTCCCAGTAAATCTGAAGAGGTGCAAAAATTGAGGCTAAAGCAGACTAAGGCAGAGTTGAAAAGGCTTCCTAGAAGAGATGATGCTTGAATTGCCACCAGAAAGAAAGGAATTTCCAGGTGGATAGAAGGTTGTGGGTGAGAGGTCATGGGGATGACAATAGGAGTTTGGTTACAAACAATTTTCAAACTGAAAGAATAGTATTTGCAAAGCACATGATGTGAAAGAAGCTTGTCAATCTAGTGGACTGCAAGCATTGCCTGGCTGGGTAATTATGGTACATGAACAACCAGCTGCCTCTATATTCTGAACAGCCAATTCTACCATCATCAATTACCATGCAGAAATTGAACCTACAGGGGAAAGTGAAACAGAAAATATTTTAGTATGATATATTTTAGTATGATATTCAATAAGATAAAATATATAAACTATCTAGTATCATGCACAGCAAAGCCCATCTGTTATGTCCCAATAAATGTTATTTCCCCCCGCCTTCATCAGTTAATTTTTTTTAAAAAAAATCAGGTTTTTGAGTAGAATATATAAGATTAGAACCATGCTTCTCATTAATCTCATTGAAGAAAGACATAATTGTTTCTTTGGACTAACTTAGCATTAGATCATTCACTTGGGAGCCATGTAAATCAGCATTGCAGCAATTCTAAAAGGTAGAGTGTCCAAGAGACCATAGAAAAGGTTAGCCTCACCCCGGTGGTGTGGCTCAGTGTTTGAGTGTCAACCCATGAACCAAGGGTCACCAATTCAATACCTGGTCAAGGCACATGCCCGGGTTCTGGGCTCAATCCCCAGTAGGGGACATGCAGAAGGAAGCCAAGCTATGTTACTCTCTCATCAATGTTTCCATCTCTCTATCTCTCTCCCTTCCTCTCTAAAAAATTAATAAAAACATAAATAAAAGGTCAGCCTGGTTATTGGCATATTTGTTGACTGGGTCTATAAAAATGCAGGAAAACTTAGCAGAATCCTATCTATAATAATAAAAAGGTAATATGCTAATTAGACCGGACATCTTCCAGACATCATTCCAGATGTCCTTCCTGATGAAGCCACGGCCGGAGGGAAGCCAGTGACGGCAGCTGGGGGAAGGAAGGCCTACTGTTGCACAAATTTTCATGCATCAGGCCTCTAGTTTATGTAATAAAAAGAGTACACTGGTGAGCCTCAAATTTTCAGCAAAGTCTCAGGGAAGTCTGAATGTGGTGGGAATATTATTCCCCGTCACTTTCACTAAGTAGTGGGACTGTTTAATCAATCAGACTAAGAAAGCAAATCAACATGCTTTCCTTTAGATTTTAGAACAGAAACCTTCTACTCCAGAAGAATTCAGAGTCACCACAGTCTGTATGTTCTGATGCTACAGTAGAACACGTGAATACCCCAGCTACAGGGGTCATGTGGAATCTCAGGAAGTAAGTTGGAGAAAGTGTAGTCTCTGACCCTCTCTGTTTCCTGTTGTTGTCCAGGTTACTTAAGTTTGTTTACAGCTCTTAAAAATGTTAAAAAGTCTTTAGTCTTCAAATAGAAAGACTTTTACCTAGGGTTTATACACTAGATACAGACTTAAACCATATGGGAGCTCCCCACCCCCGCCAAAAACTTAGTTATGTCGACTTACATACCAATTTGAAAACAATCCATTAAAAAGAGTCAGCCAGATAATTGGTACCTCAATGCAATCAATTTTGTTAAGCCTTGAATTAAGAGTTGTTCTGGTCTAAGCTGATTTTGCATATAGACACCAAATATGTGGTCCCTGGGTTTTCTTAAATTCTATCTAAAAAAATGAATCGTCACCACTTCCTGCTCAGCTATATGGAAGTTAACTAGATTTCCAGATAAATTATTTTATGTAGACCTAGGTTGTTTTATTTTGTTTGTTTATTACTTTTATGATATCATGTAAGTTTCCAAAAATTTCTCATGTAACTATGTTTAGATAAGAAACCTCCTTTCCATGCTTGCTTGATCAGATAACTACCTAATCTCAGTGTTACCTAAATGAAAATCAACTTGAGAGCTAACTTACAATTTTACTTCATTAGGGGCCCACAATCCACTAAGCTTCTTTCTTGTATTATACTGAACAAAACACATGAATTAAAGTATTTTTCCTTTTTTCCACTGTATGTTGTCCAATCACAGCTGTGTGAGTGTGTGTGCATGTATATGTGTATGTGTGTGTGTATGTACGTGTTGACAATCTAAATAACTTAAAATAGGTTGTAATAGTTAATTTGTGTGTCAACTGTGCCCAGATCTGTGGCCAAAGATTATTTTGGATGGTTCAGTAAGAATGTTTTGGATTAGAATAATATTTATATTGGTTGGCTTTGAGAAAAGCAAATTGCCCTCCATGATGTGGGTGGGCTTCATCCAATCAGCTGAAGGCCAGGAGAAAACAGGCCCGACTTCCCTCCTGAGCAAGAGGGATTTTGCCAGCCGGTGATCTCAGAAACTGAATTTAACTGCAACATTGGCTCTTTTCTAAATGTTTAGCCTGCTGGCCTTTGGACTTGAACTGCAGCATTGGTTCTTCTCTGGTCTTCAGCCTGCCAATTTACCCTGCAAATTTTGGACTTGCCAGCCTCCTTAACTGCATTAACTAATTTTAAAAAACCCCAATAAAACCCTATTGATTCTGACTGATTCTTTGGAGAACTCTGACCAATACCCAGTATTCTCTAATTTTGTATTAAATAATCAAAGAATAGAACTTTGTAGTACAAAATGTATATTATTTTTGAAACTCTGAAGATGTGCTTATGTATAATCGCAAACTTATTTCTTAATGTAAAACCAAATGATTCATCATCTTTGTTTTGTCCATTTAGTTGTGTTTTATTAGGGAAAAAAAAAAATCTTTGGCCCGGCTGATGTGGCTCAGTGTTTGAGCAATGACCTATGAACCAGGAGGTCACAGTTCGATTCCAGGTCAGGGCACATGCCAAGGTTTTGGGCTTGATCCCCAGTAGGAGTGTGCCGCAGGCAGCTGATAGATGATTTTCTGCCATCACTGATGTTTCTATTTCTCTTGCCCCCCTCTTCTTTCCTCTCTGAAGTCAATAAAAAAATATTTTTAAAAAATATGTTTATATGTATTGAAAATGGATACGGTTAACATAATAAATTATGCATTAGCTTTCAATTTTTCACTGAAAACATTTCTAGGGACTAGGATAGAAAATGGAGAATCCTTAGTAGCTGCCAGTGTCCTCTTCAAGACAAAAGTGCTTGGCTAATGTCTTTACTGTGCAGCTTCTTGACATCTGACTTCACCAATATACCCTCTGCTGAAAAGTGCTTAAAACTATTGTAAGAGCACATACGAACAAGTATGGTCTTGGGAGGATGCTTCTATTTCCCAAATGAATCCTTCCACCTGTCACCCTCCCCCCTGCTAAGAGAGCAATTGACCTAGGTATATCATGGTATATAGAAATACACTTTTGGAGACAAAAACGTTCACTTATTTGTGAATTGAGGGGGAGGCAGGACCTTGGTGATTTAGTTGTATCATCTCCTTATTAGTTCTCAAATTAGAGTTCTGAGGTAGTATTTCATGGGTATATGGAAAACTGTAGGATAAGTGTAGTACACTCTTCTTTAGAATCATTTTTTTCCAGTTTTATTTTAAAAGATCAATAAAAAAATAAAAAATAAAAGATCAATAAATATTCCTGGCCAGTAACCCAAATCTGTTATTTCATAATAAAATAAACATTAACAGTATATTATGGAGCAGAATACAAATTTACATACATGTGGCAAAACTTCTGAGCAAGTTGACATTTATGTAAATGAGTGGCTTTCAGTGGGGTCCTAGTCACCATCTACTCCCTAATATGAGTTAAGATTTTATTTTCTACTGCTCTCAGTAATACACCTTTGATGAAAAACGTTTCAGGAGTGTGGTCTTAAAATAGCTTGGCTTTAGACAGTGACAAATATTGAAGAGAAGAGGAGAGAACCAGCCCCATTTAAGAAATCTCTCTTCCTTGAGTTAAAAAGTAAACTAACAAAGAAGAGGCAATAGAAAGCAATAGCTATGAACAGAGAATTTTAATGATACTGCTTTAAATTTTTTTTTCTTTTTCAATAAAAGACCTTTCTGATAAATGTTATTACTACAGTCTTTTTAACTTTAGTGCTCATTTTATCTACCATTTACAGAGAACTTTGAATTCTAGGTCACTACATAAATTTCCATATTTACTTTGTTCAACGTCTCTGTGAGACAGGCATAATAAATAATCTAGTAAGTGACAAGCATTTGCTTTCAGCACACCAAAGCTGTGGTTTTGGTACATTGCCGTGCTGACTCCCACTGTTTTTGCTGTCCTGGTTTAACCAGCAAAGCATATTTATCGGGTAGTAGATATGTCAGAAGTGAAGGAATTCACATTCAGATAATACTGTGCTGTTGTCTTCAAAGCAGTCCATTTTTCATGAGCCTGCAATAAAAGGAAACTCAAGTCATGATCTCTGAGTGTGTAGAACACAGGCATCAATTATTCTGATTATCATACAGATATTTTCTAAAAGACTGAGAGAAATACAATGGAAGAATGATTCTAAGCAAGGTTTGGTTTTCACACTTTTAGTAATCTGTTTACTTCACTGATGAAATGTTTTGTAGTTTTCGCAGGGCCACGGTGTGACCCATGTGGTAGAGTCTTGGTATATTACAGTATCTTTCAGTTGATCACAGCACAGGTTTACAATTACAGTTAGGAGTGTACTTGAAAGTTTGAATATTCCATGAGGAAGACACAGCCTTCCAGTCTATGTAATTATTTAATTTGCCAAAGAAATAAAGTCTTCTTTTAATACCTCTAAATTATGCATGTTGGAGTAAAACAGGCATAAAACTAGATTCAAGCTACTGCGGCACCACTCCTACTGGGGATCAGCAAATGCTAGGCAGAACCAAGCTGATCCTGCTAGACCAGTTAAAACCCAGCTATGTGGAGTAAGGAGAGGATCCAAGTCCCAGGAAAACACAGAAATTCAACTTTTACAATGATTTATTTATTTATTATTTTTGTTGTTAATCCTCTCCCAAGGATATTTTTCCGTTGATTTTTAGGGAGAGTGGAAGAGAGAGGAAAAGACAGAGAGAAACATCAATGTGAGAGAAACACATTGATTAGTTGCCTCCTTACAAGCCCCTAACAGGGCCCGGGTCAGGTAGGAGCCCACAACCAAGATACATGCTCTTGACTGGAATCGAACCTGGGACACTTTGGTCCACAGGCCAATGCTCTATCCACTGAGCCAAACTGGCTAGGACTATAATGATATTATACAACTTTTACACTTGGTGATGATGAAAATCTAATACATGTGGAAAGAAAGAAAGAACAAATCAGTGAAGGAATTAATTGCTATACATCCTCATTTTCTAAATTGCTGAGTTGTAAGAGGGAAATCATGACTGATTGAAATCCTCAGATAATTTAGCAATTTCATTTGGCCTGGAGTTTCAAAGTGTTCTTCCATCAAAAAGAGGAAATAAAACTGGTGAGTTCAAGTTTCTTTTTTATTTCTCTTGGAATGAGTATACAAATGAATAGGAAAATGTAAAAAAGACAAGCAAATGAAATGACATTAAAGCTTGGGTAATTATAACAGAGGGAAGTTAGCAGCTGAACAACTGAGAGAGAACTAAAATGTGACCGTAATCCATCCATCCACCTACCCAAACATGTAATCATTTATTGAGACGACTACATAACAGTCATTTTAGTAGCTCCTGAGAATAATTATTTTGATGTAGAAGACTTGCACTTTACCTTTGTAGCCTAAGTGCATGAAGCAAACAATTTCAGTGTGACATTTTGTGAGCTCTTCACAAGTGAACAGCATGCGAAGGGGAGAGACGAAGGAAGGACAAATGCCCCCCTTGGAGAGCCGGGAAAGGCATCAGAAAGGAGACATTTGATCTTGGTTTTGAAAGTAGATGTGGAGTTCACCAGACCAAAGGCACTTTATGGAGAGGAAAGGGCAGGGATAGCTCACGGCAGATGGACAGGAAAAATCAGGACTAGGTTGGTGGTGTGTTAAAGCCAGCTGATGAGATGCCTATTTAAATGCAAATACCTGATCAGCCAGTGTGTTTTCCCACATATTCGGACTGTGATCTGGGTCCCAGTAATCCTGAAAATATACGTGTCTTTTGAGATGTAGGAACTGGTTTGCTGGGTCTTCCAACAAAAATGGCGCTCCCAATGCTCCTGTAATTCAGAGTACAAGAGCACAGCATCTTTTAGGGCAACAGTTTACATCTCAATGTTTCCTCTTAAAGAAACACAACTGTGGTTCTGGGAAAATGGGCACGTGAGAAGGAAACCTTGGAAAAGTTTTGCCTTGAGGGAAATGGCTGCTCCTTAGTCCTTTGCCACCATTGTACTGACACCACCCTATGTGAGCTGTATATGGTACAGCATGAAAGCTAGTGCTGTGAGGTGGATGGAGGTTTTCAGAGCTTCTGTACATGCATGGGAGCCCACAGAATCAAATTCCAGCCCCATCACTATTTTAGGCAAGTTGTTTAATTTCTCTGAGCTCTAGTTTTCTTTCTTTTTTTTTTTTTTAAAAAATATTTTATTGATTTTTTACAGAGAGGAAGGGAGAGAGATAGAGAGTTAGAAACATCGATGAGAGAGAAACATCTATCAGCTGCCTCCTGCACATCTCCTACTGGGGATATGCCCGCAACCCAGGTACATGCCCTTGACCGGAATCGAACCTGGGACCTTTCAGTCCGCAGGCCGACGCTCTATCCACTGAGCCAAACCGGTTTCGGCAAGTTTTCTTATATGTAAAACGGTATAATAAAAATAATAACAACGCAGTAACAAAATAACATTGGATTACCATAAGAATTGGAAAAATTAATGAATATAAACTACCTGGCTCAAACCTGGCAGTCAACAATGTTATTCTTGCTTTCCAAGCCTTCTAAAATAGAACATATCTTTCAGTTTATTAGTATCAATAGAGCCATCATTAAATCAAACAGACCTGTATTTTCTAACTCCTTCAAACTTCAGGATCAAAAAAGAAAAAAAGATGATAATTTTAAAAATTCAAACTTCCTTAAGATCTTGAAATTTTAATAGTCTATATTGTGTTTTTATTCTTTTTTAAAAAATATATTTTATTTTTTTTTACAGAGAGGAAGGGAGAGGGATAGAGAGTTAGAAACATCGATGAGAGAGAAACATCGATCAGCTGCCTCCTGCCCACCCTTTACTGGGGATATGCCCACAACCAAGGTACATGCCCTTGACCGGAATCGAACCTGGAACCCTTCAGTCCGCAGGCCGATGCTCTATCCACTGAGCCAAACTTGTTAGGGCGTGTTTTTATTCTTAAATAAAACACAATCAGGTTCAGAGTTGTAAATTGAATAAATATAAAGGAAAACACACCAACTTCACCTATGTGTAACAATGCAGTCTGTTTATTGCTTGTGATAAAGAAGCGTTTATTACAAATCTAATTGTAAGCATGTTATGTTAGGCATAGATTCATCATTAAACAGATATCTATTGACAAATACTCTGTATGGATCAGGGTAAGTGAGCTATCAGGTATGAAATTTCTCTATAGAAAAGAGGAAGAAAAGGCTTAAGATACAAAATAAGGGAACATAAGATTTGATTGTGCTAAGAGAGATTTGGAGAAGCTTATATTACTGAACACTAGGGTTTTGAGACACAAGCAGACATTTTCATGGTCAGGAAATTGCTTAACCTATTCCTTGAAGGAAATATTAAATTAGCTTCATGGGAGAAGGGCAAGACTTTTAATTTTAAACTGTTGGAATAATAAGAGCAAAAGTCATTGTGAATCTACAAGACTAATCTCTGAAAACAAGTATATACACAAATATTAATAATATTAGCTAGCACTTATTGAGCATGGTGCTAAATTCTTTAGCTGAATTACCTTATTTAATACTCACAACAAACCTAAGAAGTAGCACTGTCAATCATTTCATTTTTCAGACACAGAAACTAAGTCACAGAAAATTTAAAAAAATACGTTGAAGGCCACACAACCAGTGGGAGGCAGAGATGAAATTCTTCCTTCAGAGCTACTGCACTACATTATGACTGTGAGCCAGGAATACTTGGGGCCAGATAACAATAGTAATAATAATAATAATAATAATAATAATAATAATAATAATAATATTCTTAGGCATTTTAGACAAAAAGAAACAACAGTTATTTACACGTTCTCTATGAACGCATGCTTTTCCAAGCTTGGTCTTGAGCTATAAGAAGGGTTTTAATTATTATCCCTATTATTTCTAGTTTAACTTGCCAATCCAGCAACCTCTGGTTGCAAATGAGTGTCTATGGAAAACGACAGCCTCTCTGGATACTATACATCAATCAGGCTGTCTCTGGATGCCAAACACTGCACTACTACTAATGCAGGATTGAAAAATGATTCAGACATATTCTTCATTTATAAAATGTTAGCAACTTTATTTATTCAATGATTTAAAAATAGAAGACAAAAGTCAACCTCAGAAGATATTAGTAACAGATGTCAGAAATAATTCTTGCCTGTTGCTACGTAATCTAGTTCAATACAGTCAAACCAGACGGTGGTGGAAGCCATTCTCTAAGATTGTCCCCAAAGATCACTGCCTCCTGTTATTCATATTCTGGGTAGTCACCTCTTTCACTTAGCAGGGCTGACCAGTGTATTCATAGTGTGTGATAGCACAGTGTGTGATTTCTGGGGCTAGGACATAAAAGCTATCATAGCTTCTGGCTTGCCCTCTCTTGGATCCCGTGCCCTAAGGGAAGTCAGTCCTCTACCAACAACCATGTAAGCCAGGCACTTGGAATCTGATGCTTTTGCTCCAGTCAAGCCTTCAGATGACTACAGCCCCCACTAGCATCTTTAACTATAACCTTGTGAGAGATCCTAAGTTAGAATCATCAACCTATGCCACTCCTAAATTCCTGACCCTCAGAAACTGTGAAATAATAAATGTGGATTGTTTTAAGCTGCTAAGGTTTTGGGAAATGAGTTATGCCATAGTAAATAACTAATGCAATGCATTATAAGCACTTACCAATATCAAGGAAACTGCTAATCAACAGATTTGAGACTAGGATGAGGCAAGTGAGGTCACTAAAGCATCCTATATAATAAAGAGGTGATATGCAAATTGACCATCACACCATCACACAAGATGGCCACCCCCATGTGGTCAAAGATGGCCACCCCATGTGGTCACAAGATGGCCACCACTAGATGGCCGGCAGGGGAGGGCAGTTGTGGGTGATCAGGCCAGCAGGGGAGGGCAGTTGGGGGGGATCAGGCCAGCAGGGGAGCAGTTAGGCATTGATCAGGTTGGCAGGGGAGTGGTTAGGGGGTGATCAGGCTGGCAGGCAGAAGCAGTTAGGGGCAATCATGCAGGCAGGCATGCAAGCGGTTGGGAGCCAGCAGTCCCAGATTGTGAGGGGGATGTCCAACCTGCCAGTTTAAACCGGCAGTCAGACATCCCTCAAGGAGTCCCAGATTGGAGAGGGTGTAGGCTGGGCTGAGGGACACCCCCCCTCCCCCATGCATGAATTTTGTGCACTGGGCCTCTAGTAAAATATAAGAAGGAACTCACTCTCAGGGTTATGCAAATGTTGTACCATAAGCTTGCCACTTGCCTCACCCCAGCCTCAAGTGGATGCAAAACACTGCACTAAGAAGGGTTCAAATTATTAGCCCTATTATTTCTAGTTTAACTTGCCAATCCAGTAACCTCTGTTTCCAAATGAGTGTCTATTGAAAATGACAGCCTCTCTGATAATCCCCACTGCATGGAAAGACAAACAAACAAATCAAAAACAAGTAAAAACCCCTTGCCTCTAGGGAACTCACATTATATTCAGAGTTCACAAATAATTATAGGAACACATATTGTGACTAGACCTTCTAAGGGGGGAGTGAGTAATTCAAATATTGCATGGAGGCTGCACAGAGAAATTAGTTTTGAGTTGAGCATCAAAGACTATGTAAGGTTTCACAGCTAGGAGGAGGGAGTGGCAGCAAAGGGCATGTATTCCAGGCTGAAGAAGATGAAAAGCTCAGAGCAGAGGAGCAAGGTGAGTTTCAGGTTCAATGACCCTCACTTTGCCAGTGTGATCAAAGGTAACTTTGTGGTATGGATGTGTTAAAGATAATGTTGGAAAGATGATCTGGAGCTTGATTCTGAAAGATTATACTGTCATACCAAGGACTTTGGGCTTTAGTCTGTAAATAATGATCACTTATGTGCCAGAAAATGATCAGGACCAGTTTTACTAAAAAAAAAATTTTTATTGTGATAAAATATACATAAATAAAACATACCATTTTAAACATTTTTAAGTATACACTTCAGTGGTATCATATACATTCACAATGTTGTGCAACCATCACCACTATCTCCAGAACTTTTTCAGTGTCAAAGATAGAAACTCTGTACCCTTTAAACAATAATTCCCATGGTCCTCTCCCCCAGTCCCTGGTAAATACCTTTTTACTCTGTGTCTCTAGGAGTTGGTTTATTCTAGGGACCTTAGATAAAGGGAATCCTGTAATATTTATCTTTCTGTGTCTGACTTATTTCACATAGTATAATATCTTCAAGTTTTATCCATGATGTGGCATATGTCAGCCTTTCATTCTTTTTTAAGGCTAAATATTTTGTTATGTATATGCCAACATTTTGTTTATCCATTCATAGATTTACTTTTGAAACTCCTTTGTCAATGGTATGGAGAGCCGCTGGTAAAAGGAAGAGAGTAGAGTGAAAGAAACAAGGTCAGAGGCTCTTTGAATAGTCCAGATGAGAGGTAAGTAGGTGACAGAGGGATGGGAAGACAGGATGGACTGGGAGGGAACTGGGAACTCCCATTCATTTAGGTTGACTAGTATGGACTGACCAGTATTGCATTTTTGGTTTCAGCTGAAATGTGTTAATAGGTGACTTTCAGATTTCTCCTTATTACATTTGAATCAAAAGTGTTCTACAATGCTACATGTTTAATGTGCACTTAATCTGTTTTTTAAAAGTTGCCTTTTAAAACAAAGGGAATGTATAGGTAAAGTAAATCTGATACCCTCAATATCAAATAAATATTTCTAAAAAAATTATGCTTAGGATATAATTTACAGCTGAAAAAGAAATCACAATAATTCTTAAGATAGCTTTATTTAGAAACATCCA